GGGGCAGGGGGTGCTTGACAACAGCACCGCCATCACCGCTTCTGTTTCCAGTGTAGGAGATACAGACGGTGCAATGTTCCTGTCTTCTAAATGCCCTTTTCCAATCTGCTGAAGCACACTGATCAAAGCACATTCTTGCAGCGGTTAAAGTACACACACACACACACACACACACACACAAAAACACACAAAACACTGGATTGTTGCCCAGCTTTATAAGCTAATATGAATATGGTGCGTGAGCCTGCCTGGGGCCCTGAATGTGTGCACTTTTTGTGTATGTGTGTGTGTGTGTGTGGGGCTCTGCTGAGGCGATCTAATGCTGTGTGACTGGGGCCAGTGCTGTCAGCAGAGCAGAGACATGGACGCAGCACAAGTGCCTCCTTGCATAAATGTTGGGGGCGGGCAGGGATGCTCATCCTCCTCTCCCACCGTCTGACACTTAAAGGTCCAGTCCGCGATTCTAGCGGAGCTCATCAATTATGGGTTCACGCACAGCGGGCCAACACTAAACAAACTCCATTTGGGTTCACTGTACAGCGCCCAGGTGGCAAAGTGCTATGTATTTTTGGGGGATGAAGCAAGGTGATGCTGAAAAAAACAAATGCATGGTTACCAAACCCCAGATGAAAAAATAAAGATACGTGTATTTAAACTTCATCTTTTCCTCATAACTCAGAGTATTTTCCTCCCTTGGGGTTTTTTATTTATAGAGGGCTTTTAACAGACGGGACTGTCACAGTCTGTTACAGAAAACAAAGCTGGCAGGACAGATGAAAACAAGGAACTACTTTAAGCTTGCGTGTGCACATATGCCCGTGTACGAGAGGATCGATCTATTCTCAGCATTTAGTTAGGCTGGGTTCTTACCTTTCACAATAAAAGCACTGGGCATATACATTCACTCAGAGCATTGTTCTAGAAGGAAACTCAATAAAAGAGCTGACAGTAGTTTAATCTATACAACCATTGACCTCGGGATCACGGTCGTTGGTCCTCTGCCTGTTTTACAGGGCTGGGTATATGGTATGGGGATATTGAAATTCCCCCACTGACTACATTGAAAAACAAGGTGTACGAAATTTTCATCCGAAAACAAAGCTGAAGATAGAGACGCTTGTTATAAACGTCTATCTAGCTGTGTGTGTGTCCCACTGGCTAGCTTTATGCCACTGCACTGCACAGCGTGACATGACTGTGTGCAGAGCCGTGTGCAGGTCGGCAATACCGGCTGTATTGGTTGTAGCTGCTGCTGCTGCTGGGGAAGTGGTCCAATGACACGTTTAAATAAGTCGAAATCGAACACTTGCGGAGAAACAGCAAACTGTCATTTTCTTTCCAAATCAGGGCGCTAAAAGTATCGATTGCAGGTAAAGTCTGGCTGGAGAAGTGTCTGTCCTATTTAGTACTGGGTTATGTCTTTTGATACCTAAAAGGGCGAGTACCAAAACCTTGCCCTACTATTTTATGACCTCCCTTGGCGGTGAAGGTGGATCCTGTCTTATTCCTTCCCTGTTGTTAGAAAAAGGTTTTGTGGAATTAAAACGGGATTTGACAGCTTTCCATACAAGGTGCCATGTCTGCTTTCCAAACTCTTGTGTTTACATATTGACTAAAGACAAAAGTCATTGTCTTAAACGAGAACTCCGTTTGCACGTTTACAAGGAAAAGACATCTTCAATCCAACACTTTATGTTTCTCTATCAAAGCAAATTACTGTTGGATTGCAGACTGAGCCTTTAAAAACCACTGGACCAGTTGCCAAATTGAACCCCTGCTGTCAGGGGAGTGAGGAGTGGGTATGTGTGTGTGTGTGGGTGTGTGTGGGTGTGTGTGTACGTGTGTCTGTGTGTCCTTTAATCTGTAGGAGGAAAGTGGCTGGTTTGTGTGTGAGGATGATCTGGTTACCCTCACTCACACTGGGAGAGAGAACAGTGACGAATACAACCCCTGACATATGCAAATGTCCACTGATTCACACAGGCGAGGTAGAACGTGTGTGTGTGTGTGTCTTTCCATGTGTAGTGCAAGCTACGTGTCTACATGTGGTGGATGTTTGTCTGTAGTATTTACTATGTGTGTGTGTGTGTGTGGGTGTGTGTGTGACAAACTTACTTGGATCAGATTTGGAGAACGTGTCTCTGTCCAGCAGGTTTCTGAAAAACAAAAACAAAACAGAGAGACACATTGGCATCAAAAATAAATGCACACATCTCTCCCACTTCAACAAAGACTGGAACGTTATCACATTATTACATTCTCGCCTAATTAGCTGCGGCTACTGTCCCCGGCAGCTTGTTTAACCATATCCTCTGACTTGATTAACAAAAGCCATTTCATCCCGTCACTAAGGCAGAAACATTAAAAAGACTGCAACATTGAGCTTAAAGTGGGGCCCCATTTATATTTCAAAAATACCTAGAAAAAGCCGGAGACGGGACATATTTTTCCCTATTTTGCGCTCCCTGGGTGCCAAAAACAACAGTGGAGGCCAGCATCAAATTTACATGACACTCCAGTCTTTGCTCTTTGCACGGGGAGGGATAAATGCACTGAAGAGTCCCATCGCAGAGCAGATGCTCGGCGCCACTGAGGTACTCCGCGGTTAAACAGCTCTGAAAGAATGAAATATGCACACGAGGAAGACAATTCACAGCTGCCAGGGAGCAGAGAAGAAACACCGAGGGGCAGCTCGGGCTCAGGGAGGGGAAACCCGGCCTGTTGCGTCAGTGGTGGGCCTTTGTGCTTTAACTCAGTTGCCTACAGTGTCCTGGTCTCAGGGGTAGGTGGCAAGGGGGACAGGGACGGGGCGGAGAAGTCCCAAAGAAGCCGATGTGAACCCTTCACTCGTCTCGCTCAGCTTGTACTGCTGCCAAATCTTACATTAAAACCCCATAAAGCTTTCATAGAACTAACCCAGAAAGACTAAATAATACCAGTGCCATCTGCAAGTCCGGCGGGACACGTTACCCCAAAATCTACTGTTGTGGAGCAACGGAAAAGGATTTTAAACCACCATGAAAAGGTAGCACAGGCAAAATGTGTCTTAAATGGCATTTTAAATGAGACACAATAATGGGAAACACCTTAAAGTTAAATAGTACTTCACGAATTTAGGGATTCCCAAAGTCTTTGCAAAAGACGAAACAAAAGAAAAGAAGATATTTCCTTACTGATGAAACGGAACCACACGTCCTCCCTTTTACATCCCTGTACGCTTCTTTCAACAAAAAACAAGGATACTACACTACCCATGATGCAAATGAATTATGTATTTTCCGCAGGACATTTCTGCGCATGACGCTCTGGCTAACAGAGACGTTGAAGTGATGATGATGTTTGTGCGAAGATTTCTTGCAAACACTTCCATTGCTTCACGCAGATGTCAGGGGATAAAAAAAGCAAAAAGCAAAGTGTGAAGATAAATGCAGAAACATCTCAAGTTTGCAGTTTCACAACAAGCCCAGTCATTGCGTTCCAAAAGAGTTAGAAATGAGTTACGAGAATCATTCATATGACCATTTTCAGATCTTGCAATCTGATCTGAAATCAGATCCTTTGTACACCCGGACTTCCTCCCCAAGGAGGTTGTGATGCACTGTAATAATTTCATGCTACTTTCAGCAACACTCATAATTTGCACGGCCACAAAAAGTCCTCGTCAAGTAAACATGAACACGTTTGAACAAAATGTTGTTGTCATGGCACGAGTGTAAGTTGACCTTACGTGATAGCCACAAACAAACTTTATTGCAGCCACTTTTCCACGGCTGCAGAGAGTTCCCAGGCTTTTGATTATTAATCGGGATGATCCTGAGCATCATTTTAAGTGGCAGCGATCGCAGCAGCGTGACTGCGTCCATATTGTGCTCTGCTGACAGAGAAAGACAGAGAGAGAGGCTCCCGCTATCATGCTTGCTGCGGGGCGAGCGTTCTGTCGCCCGTCCCGTCCTGTCTGACAGGCAGCGAGTGTCTTGGAGCCGTTGCTGGCTAGTGATGTATCTAGATCAGGCGCTCGTGTTGTGCTGATCCCAGTGTGGCCCAGATGGTAAAACGCCACGCTCGACTGCCTCGCTGTCAGGGCACGCCCACCGGCTTTTACCCGGCTCTGAGACCTTAAATAAATGATAATAAGCGATGGAATCGTGGGCCTAGTCACATCGCGGCTGTGTTTGTGACTGGCGGAAAGTCTGACAGATTATGTGGGAGTGAGAAGTGGGCGACTTCACCTGCCAAGTGTGATGAATGTCCGATAAGAAATATCACGGTACTCTGTCGGCTCCCAGAGGGTTTACGAGTGGAGGCAGGGGACAAGAGATGAAGAAGAAAAAACAGTGCAAGGAGTGTATGGAAGACATGACGCGTTTGTTTGTGAGCTAGTGTTAGCAGAAGTGCACACACGTGTATGGATATGGTAACCTCCCTCTGATTCATGTGCACCCTCGGGCTTCCACCTGGCCCCGATAGAGACGGGCGACTCTTTAAAAAGCCCTTTCCACCGCGGGCAGCCCTGGAAACAACCCGGGCGGTCCGAGCAGAGTGCCTCGTCGTGCATCAAACATTTACGAGCGCGGTTCCTCCTCGACACCAGAATTACATTTGAACAGTTACATCACAGGCACCAAAGCATGGCAGCTGGAGCTTTAAATACCTGTATGTGAGGAAGAAGAGCGGGGGGGGGGGGGGGACGCGGGGAATTTGGTGTTGGTGTGTGAAAAAAAAAAAAAAAGGGGGGGGACATTGCTGCAACCAGACATTAAAAAGGTTCATTTTTAATGGTGGTTTGTTAATTATTAATATATATATTTTATAGCAAATATCCTCGAAGAATGATAAAATAGTATTTTGGCTTGAAATACCCTGAGCTTCAAACCTGCACTCTTAATCATTCAAACTGCTTCTTCATCAGATAATGATGAGATAAAATCTAATGTGAAATAAGTTTGACTAAACTGACAAAAAATGTAGTTTTGGCTGGACCTGATTGATTATTTAAAATAATCACATATGACACAGGACTAAGACTGAATTATAAACGTCTGAAAAAATTAAGAGCGAAAACTCTTCGACAAGATAAAAATAACTAAAATGTGACTCAGATTAATAAGCATTTTCATCTCAAAACGAAAGTAGCTGCCCAAATCAACACTAACGCACAACACAGATTCCTTAACTCATACCGAATAGAATGTTTTTCATTTCAAAAGCAGCCATGTGGTTCTCCCCCACCACCTAACCCGATCATAGACCTGTAGCGAGGATGAGCATAGCCTCAAACATGTGAAACAGCCATCAACACTTTCCAGCAACAATTTTTCCACCGTTCAGCTTCCTCCAACCAGCCCGACACATCCTATGAGGTGGATGTGAGTGCCTACATTTTTAGCCCAGGCGGCCCCGGTGGGATTGGAGGCATTAACCCTGGCAGTGTTAGTGCCAGCCCTCCGCTCAGCAGACTCCACGGGAGAGCGAGCAGCCAGGAAACCTTCTCAGGGAGGAAACCTCTCCGCCGTCTTGCTTCTTAAAGTCAGAGCGCTCCGGATGGCAGCGTGGGCGGTCACTTCCCATTGCTTAAGCTGAGTCCACTGGTTTGACATTCAGCCCTGCGGCCGATGTGCAGGTTTGTTTACCGTTAGTGCAGTGACGGTTGTCTGTGGAGCTATAGACCAATAATGAGCTCCTCTACTCCTCAGTAATGAACAGGGCAAGCTGGTCGTGCTGGGAGGATCGCACCAGATCAATCGGGTCAATTGAGTCTGAAGGAAACTCTGAGCTGTTCCGATCAATCCACCTTTGTTGCACATGAGACACTCTCTTAAGTCCCAACGATTTTCTCAGCTTCTCAGTGTGTGTTTGTATGAGAGCTTCAGTGAACTAAAGGAATCCAACGTCAATGAGACAAAGTCACAACATCAGCGATGTAAATCTGAGAACTACTGTGGAATAATGGCTGTTTGGAGCCACTTTGGACGAACAGACTTCTACAACGCGACTGTGGGAGCAAAACTTCTTCAGTGCAACATTTAGTTGCTGTTGTACGACAACACGTTTTCCTCCATCCCTACCAATGGGCATCAGCCTTCTCGCTCCATTGGGACCACCAGCATTTAAGATTCAGATATGAGCTTTCAGGCACCATAGTGCTACTTAGAAATAAAAATCCATTCAATTATTTTCCTGACAGTCATCAAAACAACCCCAGTACGCTCCTTCTGCTGTATTCCCATGGAATCAGGCAAAGCAGACGTATTGTAATTGACGAGAAGCAGGACGGTGCAAAGTTAACAATATGTAAACTCGTCCTCCGCGACCTAACGTTGTTCACGTTTCCAGTAGAATATTAAGAGAAAGCTGCATTGTATAGCTATATAACCAGGTGCTGTGGACATGAATATATTCTATACTAGTGGAAGAAGTGCTCAGATATTTTACTAAAGCAATACTTCAGAGTAAAAATACTCTCATATGAGTAAAACTCCTGCATTCAAACTCTGACTTAACTAAAAGTGCAAAAGGTTAAAATATTCTTCCAGCAGTTGAAGCAGAAGTACTTATTATGCAGAATGAGTAATTTCAGAATTATATATTATTGCTGGATTATAATTAGTGATGCATTAATATGTATCATCTTTCATTCATGTAGCTGGTAAAGGTTTACTTTAATACTGCTGTTTAGCTTAACCTATATAATAAAACATCATGATTTATTATTTTCTATTACAAATCTAAATCTGCAAAATAACGAACCAAAGCTATCGAATAAATGCAGTGTGGTAAAAAGTACAATATTTACCTCCAAAATGTGGTGAGTAGTAGTATAAAGTAGTGTGAAATGGAAACAATCAAGTACAAGTACCTCAACATTTTACTTCAGTACAGTACCTGAGTACATGTACTTAGTTACGTTGTACCACTGATCAACATTTCTCATTATATAAGAATAGAGAGCAACTGCAACCACTGTGAATGCACATTTTCTAACCTCACTTCCTTGTACAGACCATACAACTGTAAAGTATGTAAATGCTGTGTGTTATGCTTTGATGTACAACTTTCTCAGAAAGTCTGAAATTGAGCTGCTGTGTGATGCCATGGAGCCACGTCAGCTCTCCGAGGTCACTAGGTGACACTGCGGTGGCTGGCTGGGGTCTTAATT